TTTACACGTAAAGTTGTTAATAGATCAATAATGAGTATTGAGTGAAATTGTCTATAAGAAGCGTTATAGTTGCATCGTTAGGCATAATTATAAATAAGGAAATTCATAAAGGTTTGCAATAAATGTAAATGTCGAAGTCTACTTACATATATAGTTATGGTACTAAAATTGGCATAATATAAAAAATGGCCGTTACTATTTTGTAGTAGTATATTTTGGCAATGTCTTATTATTATGGAAATGTGCAATATTCGATGGAAGAAAATGTCTGTAAAGGAAGTAACCTTTTTAAAATCAAATGGATTCTATATATAGATGGTATATGTTATATCCAAAACTATACATATATACATGTAAAATATATAAACAATTTTTACAATGATTTTAAAGGACATCAGTAAATTGGCAATTATACATTACCATAATATAAATACTAAATATTTCATTACAAATATACGAAAGTAGGTTCAAATCTATCACAGTTTTATGGGAATATATTATATAATAGGAATGTTTAACAGTTACGGGAAAATATAAGTACATAAGAGGGATTAAACTTATGGCCAGCTCGGATCTCCATAGATATCGGTAAAAGGAAGTCTGACATAAAATACAAGTTAACAATTGTAAAAAAGATAAAAATATACCATAAAACATATTATATATATATATATTAATACCAATTAGAAAAATTACCAGTCAAAAAATTCAGAAACCTCTTGGATGTGAAGATTGAAAAGTATTTCAGATTGGTCTCCAGCATTCTTTATGCGATATCTTCCTGTATGATTTTAAATATAAAAGGCACACATGTTAGAAGCCAAATTATCATATTAACAAATTGCAAATGAATGTTTCCACTCGATTATAAAATTTAATTACTAACCTTCAGAATCATAGGTTAGACGAAACATATGCAAAGTCAGGACTATTTTATAAGTACCTATATCTTCCCACTTCTTCCAAAAATCCAGAGCAGTCTTCCCAATGAATTCGATGTCCATATCAACATAACTAAACCAAACAATTATATTACAACAACATTAACAAAAATACATGTGTACAACATAAAACAAATTATTGGCCTTTACATATATAGATGATAATATAAAACATCTTACTTCATGTCCAATTTGTGAGAAGGTCCAAAAATCATCTCGTAGGAGTCATCAATGTCAGTACTTAGTTCATCATCAACATAGATGATTACGCTGATCAAGTCTACCAAAAAAAAAGTTCATTACAAAATATTTATAATAATTTTTTAATTGAATAAAGGTGAGAAGCCAAACCGATAGAGTACTCAGTAGGGAAATTCCCTCGGATAATGGCATCAAATGGCATAAAATTCATCATATGCTTAGGATTGACTTGAAAGGTCTTATCTACAACAGTATCGGCATTTATGTTGATGAAGTGGTAGTTGATGGTATTTCTGAAAAATCTGAATACAGTGACAACGTTGAAGAATTTGACATAATTCCATTCTCCTTCTTTAAACTTTGGACCGAGCGAAAATCTATTGATGCCTCTATTTTGTAGCCCTAAATTCGCGAACCAAGTAATCATTTCAGAGATTCGTGTTTTTAAATGTTCATAACATGCAACAGAAAAAAAAAATCTTCAAAAAGATGAACTTACATTTTCGTCATGAGGATAAGACGCAATTCCTGGTGTTGATTACGGTAGTTGAAGTGTGCCCACACTCATAGAACTTTTATAAGAATTCTGGAGTCAGATTTTGTGGGAGAAAGATACTCAATTGTACAATAGCAAGGCATGTTTGAGGAAAGTGGTTGTTTTCTGGAAACTTTAGTTTTTTTTTTGTTAAGATGGCGAAGCGTTTTTTTCGCGAATGAATGATTTATATGTATAGAAAAGCAAGTATAGGGTTTGAAAGGTTGTGTCGTTTTGTAAAATTAAAATAAATTGCAACCTTTGACATTTATTGCACCAAGTGGCTTATGCACAAACAAAATTGGTTAAATTCAATTCATATGTATATTTGACTTTTATATTGATTAACTATATATAGAAAAATATGTGAAAATGGTAGAAAAATGTCGAATCTGGTATTGAATACTTCTCTTTAATTACGTCAATTACTTCTTTTCATTAATTACAAATAATTAATGAGAGTATAATACCGGAATTTATGTACTCTATTTTTAATACAGACACATATCACGGACCATCCAAAATTTTAATCTCATTTTTACTTTTTTGTTGAAAAAAATAGAGTATGATTCATAAATATATATATATATATATATATAAATATATTGTCATGGAATAAGTTATCTCAATCAGAATAATATAAAAGTTAAGATTTCCAAGTTTAACATTATAAAAATAAGAAATAGGAAACCATAATCTTTTTTACGGAGACTGCTCTTCATATTCATCGTAGACCGGAGTAAAATCAATTGAAGTTGCAAGCCTGAAATAATATTAGGATTTTTTATCATTATACATATATATATATATATTCATAAATATTAATATATATGATACAATATCAAAGCTGGAATAAACATACCTCAACTTTGCTCTTTCCACTTCTAGAGTAGAATGATCCTCGAGAATATCATATATGAATCTTTCCGATTCAACTATCCATTCATCTAATTACATAGACATACTCAGTAAAAATATATGTAAAACTTGTAATTAATTGACAATATCAAATAGTGAGGTAGTTACTATTTAGGTAGCTCTCCATATAGTGAAAGAGAAAAATCGCAATACAATAATATGTCTAGAAGATCTTTCACGACTCCTCCAAAGTTCTTCAAATTTTCTTGCCAAGTTATCCCAAGCAATACATTTCAAAGATTCTTGACTGTATATTTAAATCATTTGAACATTATATTAATATACTTTAAAATTTGTAAACAATAGACAGATAACAGATGTTTTGAGGATAAGTTGTACAGGCCTGAAATTTTGAATTTTAAAATGAATAAGTGGACGTTGCATGGGTGTGTCCGATGTATCGGATATAGGAATTCCTAATTGAAGTTTCAGAACAAAGGTGACAACCCCAAAAAGATCAACTGCAAAAATAAAGGACTGCCTTTAAAATTCATGTTGGAGTTCCTTAGATAAACGATTTAAAATAAAAAGTTGTAAGAAACATACCAAGATATATGTCTTTATGAATAAATCTATATAAAATATTTATGAATGCACAAAAAAGTATATACCTTTGGAAGACTTCGGATTGGTTTTCTCAATACTTGTATCCTCGAGGAAATGTATATGATAGTTGTTTGATGATATACATACTTGGACTAATCACTCTGCCAGTGACTTTAAAATTATCAAGAAAATACCACTCTCCTTCAACCAATTCATACTCGAAATTCGATAATTTGTCATATTGAATAGTAGACATGATGCGATTGCCCTACACGGTTTATAAAATAAATAATTAACAAATACATTCCTAAAATATATATATACGGAAAATCTTTTCAAACCTCCAAAACTTACAAATTCATCCGCAAGAACTAACATCCGATTAGGTTGATCGATGAGAGTATAATCATAATAATCTCTTAGTATATAGACACAAATACGATATCCGCCATTTGTCTTCTGAAGATCAGAAACTCTTTCATAAGGAGACATTTTTAGTTTTAATTTTTTGTTAAGATTGAAGATGAAAGCAAATAAAGAAATGAATATTTTCTATGTGATGGAGTAAAACAATTATGGTTTTAATGTCGTCTTAATTGAAACTCTTGTCAAAATTTATGACAGTTGGTTGAACAAAAAAAAATTAAATCACAAATTAAAATCTGAAAAAATTGAATTAGACAATCAAATCTAGGACAACATTCAAGTTCCACAATTAAATAAAAATATGCCAAAAAAGTTCCACAAATACCGCAAAAAATAACGAATAGAGTTCAAACGTTATCCACCCATTGCACAAATTTGTTACAAAGATCAAAAGCAATAATCAATCACCAGCAATGTATCTCTGCACTAAGTTCATTACGATTTCTTGCTTCTTCATAACTTCATCGGGATTTCTTGCTTAGGTCGTTTTTTGTTAACAGAACTTTCACATTCATCAAAATAGTCAGGACTCTTAATTAGCTTCTTAGATGAAGGAGTGAGTGAAGATCCAGAAGATGGATTCTCAAGTTCGTTAGAACTCGTAAGCATCAACGGTTACTGAAATATTAAACATTGTTGATGACTTAATTTAACTAAACCATCAGATAAGCGAGTTTGAGAAGTTTTTGAAATTTTTTATATATTACCTCTGATCGAGAATCCCACTGAGTCATAATGTCAACATCTTGAGACCATAGCTCTACTACATACAGAGACTCGCTTCCTTTTGTATGCTCTTCTGAAACTGTTATTTTGAAAAGCATCCTCATGGTTAGGAGCTTTGTCAAGCCCTCAGGGAGCCCTCTTGGTAAATCCTGCGAAGCATTATATTAAATGGATTAATATAATTTCAGAAAATGTAAATAATGCATAATGTATATAATTATTTAACCAATAATCTCATCATTTTGTTCTATTATAGACTCAGCTGAATGACCTAACAGTTTTTGAGCAGTGTCATCAAACATCAAGAAGTGGACATCGACGTCTGAATCATCAGTTACAAATAATACAATACAGTACCTACATAGTTTGTAAGGAAACAGAAAAGTGAGATATTTAAACGTTACATGAATCAACATGTAATGTAGTGTCGGAATAAATGTTTTTTTTTGACGAATCAATGCAATAAATTAAGGCGAACATTTAGCCAGTCAATAAGAGAAAGTCTACATGAAATAATTCTGCTATATCTGCTATATATCTTACCAAAGAAAGTCTAAATGAAATAAGTAATGTCTTCTTGACTTTATGGGACAAATCATTGTATTACCTTGCGACAATGGTATCATATGAATGAATATCTCCACAATTTTTGCAACTTGAAAGAGGAATCCTCTTATCGTAATCTTAACCATCAGACATGTCATGCTCTAAAACTTTGATGTTGCAAGGTTTGCATGCCTAATAATACCAAGCTTTGAAGTGTCAACGTCTTTGACCGTTACGCATGTTACAATCTTGCCAGGCTATAACAAAACCATTAATATGTATATAATGAAATGTAAATATATTTTTACCATTAATAAAATATAGCTCATACCACTTTTGTATCACGAATTTCAGCTATCGTCCGTCTCCTATTTTTCATACCTAAAAATTCTTCACGGTAGTCAATAGCACCACCCCAAGAAATCGAATAACTCTGTTCAGCATGCACATCATTTGATTGTTTTTTGGCAACCTACAAAACCGTACAAAATAATTATAGAAATACAGCAATGTTAAAATGATATTAAAATTGTGACATACATACTTTTCTCTGAAGTCTTTCACGATCTTGACGCTAGGATCGAACAGAATTTTGGTGGAGTTGAAAGCGTTTGATATTAAAATGTCACATATACTTGAAAAACATAAAATAAGAATAATTAACAAACTAATGCAATACCAATCTCTACCAACCGTGTACATATGAATATATGATATTGTGATCTAACCTTTGTACTCTTTTATACAGACAAATCGCATTACACAAACAACAATCGTAGCCATATGTTTGTCAATGTACTCAACCGTTGCTTTTGCATATTGCCCCCATATTGTACATTTCAGTTGGAAATCGCTTCAGCAATAAACATATTAGCGTTCCATTGTTAAAATATTGTTATGTCTATTTTGGTATGATATCATAACTACATACTTGGTATCCCGGAGTGTTATCATCAATTTCTCGCTGATCCCACTTTTGCCTTTAGTTTTAATAACTTCCATACTCTCCACCGTGACAATTTCTCCAATGACATCTTGAAGACAAAATATTTGTATAGAATGATAAATATGTACATTAGAATATAATTATCAAAATCTCGATGATAACATACCGATGAGGATGTTTCTGTAGAGTTTGTCTTCCTTGATTGACTTGAAATCAGACAAATATTTTTCTGGCAAGTCTAATGGGAAATCAGTAATCTCCTTAGCACGGGTGGTTCTGCACAAAGCGATCTTATATGGTAATGGAGTAGTCCTAAAATCACCATAGTATTCTTTAATGATGAAGCAATTAATAGAAAGTGATTTTCCTTCTATAAGGATGCCTTTATGTTTTGCGATCAATTCTTCATCAACAGTAGCGTGAATCCTAGTGCCCTGTGAATCACACATAAATAGTATTACTATATAAACTATAGATTGATTAAATAACAATAAACAAAATACATAAGATCGCATACAAACCTCTTCGTCAATCAGAACCATTTCTATAACAAAACCAGACTCTCTGTTCTTGACTTTCCAAAGGGAAAATATAGTAGCTCTAACTTTCTGAATTTTACTTGATTGATCTAATTTGACAAACGGAACTATAGCAGCTGAACGTCTGCGGATTAAAGTCATTTTTGTGAATGAGAATGGTAGAGTTTTAGGGTTTAGAATAGGTGATATATATAGGGAGAGAAGTCAATGTGAACATATTAAAATTGATGTTAGGCAGGATTGAAACTATTTTGAAAAATAGAATAAAATGAAGAATATGGATATTCGGAATGTGCATAGAAATAAGTATTGTTGCGGAAATATTTGAGAATCAATATATTCAAATTGATTTAATTGCCAAAAGTGACGTATAATATTAAAATGTAAGCTAAATTCTTGTTTCTTTTTGAAATATTAAGGTTTCTGTATATTCTGTTACATTAACTCCGATAAATCTTGCTAATAGTTAATGTAATCTTTCATTTTGGGAAAATATTCAAATTTTTTATGCGGAAAAGTTTTTTAAAACCATAATTTTAAAAATTTGATATTTGGGCCTGTATGAAGTATTGGGCTACACGATTGTTTTTAAAATACAGATAATTGGACCGGATCGGGTATAAAGATCCGCGTGTTTATCCGTTTATGATTTTGTTGTTTTTTTTTTTCATTTTAGAACAAAAAAACTTGGATATAAATTACATATCAACATTAGCATTCAATAAAATTATGCAGAACTAACATCTTTGCTATGTCACATTTAATGACGTTGGCAGTGGAGGTTTTCTCAACCAATCAAATTAAAAATATCAGATTTTTCAATAGAATAATATAAAGAATAATAACAAAGTATTTGAATCAAAAGAAAAAAACAACAATTTGTCCCTTTTTTTTTTGAACGGTATAACAATTTGTCCATGTTCTAAAAAGTTGTCGTAACAGCAAATGATCTTTTAGCAGTAATTTTGGCGAACGGACAGAGCCTAAGGTCTTTTGACGGCAAGGCAAGAAAAACTTTCATTGTGTTTCTCGTCTTTTGATTCCAAGAATAATGGTATACGTTCCACTCACTTTATTTATCGTCTTTTGATTCCAAAACGAATTTTGATGTTTGAAATCTCATTTTGATCCAATTTTCTCTCCATATCGTATCCTCTTTTCCAGATCCGATTCATATTACTGCAGAACAGACAAGGCAAAACTCGTCTTGCCAAGTACTATGTTCCTCTCGAGGAGTCCGAGAAACACAAAGTCGAATACGAGGTAATCCATTCTCCCTTTCTCTTCTCGTTTATTGCTTCTCATCTTATGTTCTTTTCCCCCTGATTCTTTATTTAAATTTCTATCAGGTTCATAGATTGGTGGTGAATCGCGACTCAAAGTTCACAAATTTCGTTGAGGTTTGTGGGTCTTGCTTAACGAGACTAGAGTTTTAAGATTCTTGTTACAGGTTTTGCTAGTTGTCGAACAAAGTCAATTGGATTGGCCTTTAGATCAACACCAACAAAATCAAGTTAGTTAGGGTTCTGAATCATGCTTATATCATATATCATATATACTATGTAGTACACTGGTTTCATTCTCTAAACTTGTCATCATTTGTATCTATAAGTGAGATTTGTTTTATTGTTTAACCGTTTTTGCAGTTTAGAACGCATAAGGTTATATACAGGCGCTATGCTGGATTGTTTTTCTCGTTGTGCGTCGACATAACGGACAATGAGTTGGCTTACCTTGAATGTATCCACTTGTTCGTCGAGATTTTGGATCATTTCTTCAGCAATGTATGCGAGCTTGATTTGGTGTTTAATTTCCACAAGGTACCATTACTTCTTTACTTTCTTTCTTTTATTTATTCTTCATGTAAGTCCTCAAACTGTTTCAATCTTCTGTTCTTGGTGGGCCGCATCGCTCATATAAATCGTAGAGAATGATTGTGTCATTGTTTCTTTTGTACCTATGATTAGCATATTCTTCGTGATATTTACTAAGGGCCTTTTTGGAAAATACTTAGTGATGACTTTTGTTTGGCCTTATGATAATCAAGTTTGTGTCTCTTTAAGGAAAAAAGACTGATGTATATAAATGTGTTGCTTCGAAATTTCTATATGCGTTCTTTGTTGATTTTGTTTACTTACTAATTCACAATGGTTAGTTCTTTGGCCTTATCATATATCAAGCTTGTGTCTCTTTAAGGCAAAAAGACTGATGTATAAATGTGTTTCTTCGAAATTATTGTCTGCGTTCTTTGTTCATTATGTATACTTATCTATCACATTAGTTAGTGATTATTTCTTTGGCCTTATCATATCAAGCTTGTGTCTCTTTGAGGCAAAAAGACTGATGTATAGTGTTTCTTTGAAATTTCTTTATGCGTTCTATGTTAATTTTGTTTACTTCCTTATCACAATGGTTAGTGATTAACTGATTATTCTTATTTGGCAACATATCAGGCTTGTGTATAAGGAAAATAGACTAATAGATACATGTGTTGCTCCGAAAATTCTATATGCATTCTTTGTTAAATTTATTTACTTACTAATTCACAATGGTTAGTGATGAATCTTCTTTGGCCTTATCGTATCAAGCTTGTGAGTTGTGTCTCTCTAAGGCAAAAAGACTGAAAATATAATATGTTGTGCTCCAAAATTTATGTATTCGTTCTTTGTTCATTTTGTTTAATTACTAATTCACAATGGTTAGTGATGGTTCTTCTTTGGCCATATCAAGCTTGAGTCTCTTCAAGGCAAAAAGTCTGATGTATAAGTGTGTTGCTTCGAATTTTCTATATCCGTTCTTTGTTTATGTTAAATGTCTACTAATTCAAAATGGTTGGTTCATCTAAGGTATACTTAATACTCGATGAATTCATTCTTGCCGGAGAGCTTCAAGAAACAAGCAAGCGGGTGCTTATAAAACTATTTTTTTTTCCCTTATCTCAAGCTTTATTTTTTATTTTCTCTTATTGTTGGCACTAAACTGAAAAAAAATATATATTCATCAACTCTTTTGTTGTAGGCAATCATTGAGAGGATGTCAGAGCTTGAGAAGCTGGACTGATGACATTGGGAAATTCAATGATTTTCAAGAAGGAAAATCAGCAATAGGAGTCTTCTGATTTGCTCTTTTCTGTCATGTTCTGTCTACAGTTCTCTGTTTCCAGTGAAGCTAGCAGATCTTAAACACACTTGTCATTTTTATTTTCTTAACCTCATATGGTAGGAAAAAATGTATTTGGGCAACTAGAAGGAAAACTTGTAGTATGAGACATTGTATTCAGATCCTGCCCTTGCGCACAATGGTTAGACAAACAAAAAACAAAAACAAAAAGAGTTGATAAGTAAAAACAGCATGCTTTGTGATACACCCTTTCAAGTTGTATCAGTTATGTAGATGCGGAGAAATTGTCGATGATGATCCAGGGTGATGAATTTCACAATTTGTAATGACCAGCTGATTGTGTATTACAGTATTAGGATGATGAAATTTCACTCTGATGACCAATTTTGTAGTGACATTTTAAAAGTATTTGAAAGTGTAAGATAACATATCTACTCGATATTGAAAACACAGTATTTTTGAGGATGAGATGATACAACCTTACATTAAGCAAAAATCGGAAAAGTCACAGTTCCTACAATTACTTAGTGCTCTTCAAATACAGCAGATTATTACATTATACCCTTGTTTTTATCTCTATTTCACATACTCTTCTTAGCCTCTGGACTCTGGTCAATAGACTCCAATTGGTTCCTGAGATTCTGATTATCCTCAAGCAGCCTATCATATTCCATAAGGAACCCATCAGCTTGTTTTCTCAGAGCCTCTGTTTCAGCTCGTGCTCCTTTTAGTTCTTTTCCTTTGCTTTCACTTTCCGATTCTAATTTCCCGATTTTCGACTTCAGAGCCGCGATTTCTTCCACAAGGGCTTTGACTTCCTCCCCGCTAGTGTTTTTCCCATCTTCGAAACCTCTATTCTGTTTCTTCGCAGTTTCCATTGTCTTCCTCAGTAACCGAAGCTCTCTGATGTAATGATGTAGTCGATCAATCATGAGCGAGAGAAACAGCACAAATCCTGCAATATAAAACGTTCAATAACCTCAATCAAACCCAAAGAAAATCAGATTCGTATTAGAGTGGTAATTATCAGATCTAATCCTTTTGAAATCTGATATCAACTCATATATATATCACGGTTTTCCTTAATTATACTCCTTAATTCCACACTGGTTTATCAAGAAAATCACTTCAAACTGTTGATTCAGCATCAGTGATGCCAAAAGTTCATTGTATTCCTAGTAACCCAAGTTCTCTAATGTAATAGAGTAGCCGATCAACCACGGGTTAGAGAAATAGCACAAATCCTGAAAGATGAACGTTCAATAACCAAAACAAAGAGTAACATCAAAACAAATCGGATTTGTATTAGAGTATTCACATGATCAAACCAAATGTATATGCTAAAGATCACGATTTTTTTCTAATCACACCTTACATTCCCAACCATCTGCTAGTTTATCAAGAATACGAATAAAAAGCACTTTGAAATTGTTGATTCAGCAACTAATCGATTTCTAATCCGAGAGTTCCGACATCCGTTCCAATCTAAAGAATTCAATAATCATTCCTACAAACATTTCTTACTGATTTAAGAGAGCGAAACGTAATTTACCCATTAGAGAAGCTTCAAGCATATGCTTCGACGCCAGGACTTGATCAGTAGGATTGAGAGCGGCACCATCCTCGGATCGGCGCTGTATACTGAGCAAACTGTAGACGCTTGACATTAGAACGACGAAGACGGTGGCGCCGATGGTTTTGACGACGACGGGGCCACGGCCGCGCTTGATACGATCGAAGGTGAGGATGATGAGCTTTCGGAGAGGTGTCTTGAAGAGGAGAAGGAGGATTAACGCCATTTCGGCGAAGAGCACCGAGTAAAGGAGATGGATCATCGTTGATGTTGAGCAAAAACCCTAGATCGGAGAGAAAAGGAAGAACGTGTCGGTCAATGAATAGAGAGCAAAAGAGCACAAGGCGTTACGGGTTATTTAATATAGCTTTTAAATTTTTAGTTGGCCAATAAATGGCACGTCATTTGTACTTTTAATCTTACTTTTTTCCAAAAAAATAAATAAATGCTGTTACACGTATTTGTTAGATTGCCGACTTAAATTGCACCGAATTATGATTGAACTTAGGTCAATTATTTTTGTCGTCAACGTGGATATTTCACTGATATAGAACGCTACATATTACATGTGATACTTTTATTTGTTAAGAGTAAAAGCTAAAATGGAATCAGCCTAGAAATTGAAAGATAACGGTTTAAAAATGATTTTTAAGTTCGATTAGAGGCCCAAAGCAGCCCATATCTCGTAGAGAAATAAGACAAATCCATATTAGATGTCGTGAATGTGGAAGCTGGATTTCTCATAAGGTACTCGACATTCTCATAAGGTGTTCTGTAGGCTGGACCGTGCCCTCTCCAATAGTGCCTGGGTTGAGATCTTCCCCTCAGGCAGAAGTGCATACCTGCGGTTTGAAGGGTCCAATCACAGACCAATTATCTCCTTTTTGAGCCTGCAAATAGGAAAAAGAGAGGTTTATTCCGATATGATAGGCGTATGCAATCAAATGAGGAAATCCAGAATCTGATAGCATCTACTTGGAACTCAAACCCAGAGGATTTAGTGACTACAAGGATCTCAAATTGCAGGAAAGAGATATCAAAATGGAACAGGGAGAACCATATAAATAACAAGAAGGTTATTGAAGCAACCAGAATCAAGCTTGATGAGGCCATGTCATGTCAAACGCCAATGGTGATGAAGCTTCCATCCAAAGTTTAAACGCTGAACTATCGATGGCCTACAAAGCTGAAGAGGAATTTTGGAAGCAAAAAAGTAGACAATTGTGGCTGTCCCTAGGAGATAACAACACAGGGTATTTTCATGCTATAACAAAGGGGAGGAAAACGATAAATAAGTTTATGATGATAGAGGATATCAACGGATCACCTGTCTATGAAGAAGAACAAATCGCAAAAGTCATAACGGACTACTACAAATACCTTTTCACCTCCACAAGCTCAGACAGTTCAGGAATCGTGGATTAGATCATCAAAAACCTTGTATCACGAGGCTGGATAATGAACGTCTGATAGCCGATCCTTCACCGGAGGAAATCAAAAGAGCCATGTTCGCGATACACCCTGACAAGGCGCCAGGGCCTGATGGCTTCTCATCGAGTTTCTTTCAATGAAACTGGGAGGTGGTGGGACCTGCAATTATCAAAGAAGTCAAGGCTGATCCCGAAGATAAAGAGTCCGAAGACTGTAGCTGACTACCAACCCATTGCGCTGTGTAATGTCTTCTATAAAATCATCTCCAAGCTCTTTGACTCTCCGGTTTCAACCCCTGCTCAATGGCATCATTTCGGAAAACCAATCAGCTTTCATTCCAGGCAGAGCGATCTCAGATAATGTAATGATTACCCATGAAATGCTACACTATCTAAAGACTTCCGATGCAAAGAAACACTGCCCTATGGCCGTGAAGATTGACATGAGCAAGGCCTACGATAGAATAGAGTGGGGTTTTCTACATCTTATCCAACAAAAACTCGGTTTCCACCCTAAATGGATCAACTGGATAACTCAATGTGTATCAACGGTATCCTACTTCTATCTTATAAATGATGCGGCTCAGGGATTGGTGGTGCCTGAGAGAGGGATACGTCAAAGAGACCCTTTATCTCTGTATATATTTATCTTATGCGGCGAACTCTTATCTGGCCTATGCCGAGATGCAAAAGAGAAAGGTCGCTTACCTGGGCTTAGAGTCGCTAGAGGAAGCCCCCCGCATAAACCACCTTCTTTTTGCGGATGACATGATGTTTTTCTGCAAGGCAAACAAAGGAAACTCATCAGCTCTTAAAGACATCCTTCACAAATATGAAATGGCATCGGGGCAAAAGATAAATATGGCAAAATCATCGATAACTTTTTCATCCAAAACACCCCAGATGTTTGTGAGGATACTAAAGCGACACTTGGAATATCAAAGGAGGGTGGCCAAGGAAAATATCTTGGCCTCCCTGAGCACTTTGGAAGGAATCAAAAGGATATGTTCTCTCTCATTGTGGATCACATTAGGCAGAAAGCTGCGAGTTGGTCATCAAGGTTCCTTTCAAGCGCCGGAAAATTGACTTTGCTAAAGTCAGTACTCTCTGCCATCCCAACATATACCATGACATATTTTAAGCTCCCAGCTAGCCTATGCAAAAGAATCCAATCAGCCCTAACCAGATTTTGGTGGGATGAAAAAAATGGAGTTAAGAAAATGTGTTGGAGATCGTGGAAGCTTCTTACCAAGTCTAAGAAGAATGGAGGGCTGGGTTTCAAAGATATTCAGGCTTTCAACGATGCCCTCCTCGCAAAGCTAAGCTGGCGCATTCTAATGAACCCCTCATGCCTCTTGGCTCGAACCCTGCTGGGAAAATACTATCACGAAACCGGTTTCCTTGAGGTTCCCCATCACCCCGCATCCTCACATGGATGGAGTGGTATTCTCCTTGGAAGAGATCTCCTCCGGTCACACCTAGGGAAAGCCATCAGTGATGGAAAAGATACAATGGTCTGGTCTGATGCTTGGCTCTCAATGGAAAACCCAGTCCACCTTTTTGGACCTACTACAAAGGAAGTAACAAAGCTAAGAGTTGCTGACCTTCTAAACTCAGACTCAAATACATGGAACGAACAGAAAGTCACAGCTTACATACCTGATCTGCTTCACGTTATCCAATGCATCAAGCCGAGTCTGACTGGAGCAAAAGACAAGTTTATGTGGCTGGCGAACCCAGATGGTATCTATACGACAAAATCAGGGTATCAACAAAGACTTCAAAATGAGGCGAATAGAGACCAAAACGAAGCCATCCACCTTCCAAATTTCAACTGGATCTCTAATATCTGGAATGGTGTTTACTCTCCTATACTAAAGTTATTCCTATGGAAAGTTCTCCAAGGAGCGATTGGTATTGGTGAGAATCTGCTAAACCAAGTAATAGAGGCAAACGTTACCTGCCCTAGATGTGGCGATCTGGAATCTCCGGAACACCTTCTCCTCCATTGCGCTTTCGCGAAAGACGTCTGGATCAGTGCCCCGTTTAAAGATCCAGTGTACCCCCTCGATTTTCCCCGGCTAGACATCGCACTCGAAGCATCTAGATCATGGATCTGCCTCCCAATAATTGGAGTGAGCTCAACAGCACTTTTCCCCTGGATCTGTTGGTCTCTGTGGACAGCGCGAAATCGCCTGATTTTTGAAGACAGGGCTTTCTCTGCGCAAGATATCATATCAAAAGCGATTAGTGATGCTCGAGAATGGCAGAATGCCCAACCCAAAGTAGAGCAAAAGAATCGAAAAGCATCTCTCTCGCATAGACCAAATCTACGACCTGGAGTCATCTCTTGTTTTACAGATGCGGCTTGGAGGGCTGAGAATCAGATGGCAGGGATTGGCTGGATCTGTTACAACAACGACAACAGGGTACTAGCGGAAATGTCCAAGGTAACTCACTTCGTTTCGTCGCCTCTCGCAGCAGAAGCGATCGCGATCAGGGAAGCTCTCCTTCATGCAAAAAGCCTCAACTGAACCAGCTTGTCCTGAACTCCGACTCACAAACGCTCGTCCGAGCAATCAGATCGCATGATCAATTGGCTGAGATCTATGGGATCCTTCGAGCGCTCGGCTGAAAAGCCATAAATGGTGAAGAAAAAGGCTGAAAAACCATAATTTTATTAATTAATTTCTTTTGTATTTTTTTTTAATTACAAAAGGATGGGAAATTCTACGATTATCCTTAGAAGTGTCAATATTAATGAAAATACCTGGATAAAACCCACCCGAATGAAGTCCACCCGTTAACCCGATAATAATTCAATTTAATTAAAAAAAATAAACCGAAATTAAATTAAAAATCGAAAACAGAAAATTGAAAACCTTAAACCGAAGTTGATTTGGTTCAACTAAAAACCAACTCAGACCGAATTGATCAAAATCGATTCTCTTCTCTCGCGAAACGGCTAACTCCCTCACTCACTCCCGTTCCCCTCTTCTCCGAAATTCCTGCAACTTCCCAATCTCACGAAGAAACCGAAAATCCTCTCACAAACCCTAATCGATTTGATTTCTCCAAAATCGTAACTTCCTCTTCCCTCTACTATATAACTCTCTCTTGTTAACCCTAAACCCTAACTCCTAATTCGCTCATTCCTTTCTTCTCCATCATCGGCGATAGCTATGGTTAAAACTCGTTACGGCGGGGTGATCTACGATTCCGAAGAACCCAAATTACCCAATAGCAGCGAAGAAGCAGCCAGAGGAGATGAAGACCCCGAAACAACTCGGAGAGAAGAGGAACCGGCGATTGATGAACAACCCCCTGAAGTTAGTCCGAGAGAAGAAGAAGGAGTGTTAGAAGGAGAAGAAGCGAATTCCGAGACCACAAATCAAGCGGCGGAAACCGCACCAACAACCATGGAAGAAGAACCACCAGTTGTGGAAACGAACAATGAAGCGGCACCAACACCCATAGAAGGAGAAGCAGCGATTTCCGAAACCACCAGTCAAGCACATGAAACCGCACCCATGGAAGAAGAACGACGAGTATCGGAAACCACGAATAAAGCCGCCATGGAAGAGTGTGAGGAAGATGAACCCGAGAAAGAGGGACCAGCGGAGAAATCCCAGAAAGAAGGAGAGGTAGCGGAAGAGGTATCGGAAAAAGATACTGCAGCAGAAGAGGAATCCGAGAAAGATGCAGAAGAAGAGGAAGAAGGAGAGAAAGAAAGAGAAGAGGAAGAAAATTCCGGGAAAGGAAGAGAAGAGGGAGAAAATTCAGAGGAAGAAAGAGAAGTGGGGGAAAATTCAGAGGAAGAAAGAGAAGAGGAAGAAAGAGAAGAGGAAGAAAGAGAAGAGGAAGAAGGAGAAGAGGTAGAAAATTCAGAGGAAGAAGCACATGACCAATCAGAGCAAGAAGAATCAGAGGGAGATTTAGAGGTAACTATATTTTGAAATGAATTCTTGTTACACCTGGACAACTTGGACAACTGTATAGAATAGTTAGCTTTACATAAGTAGGCAATATCCGGACAACTAGGACAACTGTATATAACATCTAGCGAACAGGGACAACTTGGTTTTTCGTAATTAGGTGCGTATGGACAACTAGGACAACAGGGACAACTAAGTTTGAAGTAATTTGGTGCATATGGACAACTGGGACAACTGTGTTTTACGTGATTAGGTGCATATGGACAACTTGAACGTGTGTAAAACGTTCCCTTGGGGGCGTTACACATTTGATATCATGATGAAGGAGATCAGGCGTGTGATGGCAACCGATGGTGCCTGAGAGGCTTTACTTCGAGCCAACCGAGTACAGCCAAGGTTGTAGAATATTGACAAGGTGCTCAGTTAGGAAAGTTGTGGACAAGATTGATGAACTTGCTGAGGAGAAAGCATGGTTTAGAGCGCATCCTCAATTTAAGCACATTTTTCACATGTTCAAGGAGCCCAACCACATGAATCAAGGATTGTGGATGCTTCTCCTTCACACTGCTCATACTGAAAGGCTTAGCGAGTGCTGGTTTGTTGTTAACGGAATCAGAGGGAGATTTAGAGGTAACTATATTTTGAAATGAATTTCTTGTTACACCTGGACAACTTGGACAACTGTATAGAATAGTTAGCTTTACATAAGTAGGCAATATCCGGACAACTAGGACAACTGTATATAACATCTAGCGAACAGGGACAACTTGGTTTTTCGTAATTAGGTGCGTATGGACAACTAGGACAACAGGGACAACTAAGTTTGAAGTAATTTGGTGCATATGGACAACTGGGACAACTGTGTTTTACGTGATTAGGTGCATATGGACAACTTGAACGTGTGTAAAACGTTCCCTTGGGGGCGTTACACATTTGATATCATGATGAAGGAGATCAGGCGTGTGATGGCGAAGTTTGATGGCAGCATGAAAGACAAAAAAGCTGAATGTCCTCTTTCTGGTTTCATTCTACCTCTACAGGTAATTCTTAGTTACCATTTCTTATAATGCATAATTTTTCATAATTTAATAATGATCTGTTTTTACTTTTTGTGTAGATACTTGCTTTTGAGTGTATTCCTAGCCTTGGCCGCAAATTCCGAGAAGCTGTACCTGCCCTCGAAGACTGTCCAAGGATGTGCAAGCACAAGTTCACTGAAGTTTGCATGAAAGGCATTCCGTTGGATGATATAAATGCGGCAATCGGAACAAGTGCAAAGGTTAGTGTTTGCTGGTTTTGGTTAGGGTAGAACTCTGATTGACTTGCAGTTAGTGGTTTAAGGACAACTGGTACAACTTATGGAAAAAATAGAATTATGGGTCGTGGGACAATTAGGACAACTAGTACAACTAAGGGAAAAAATAGAATTATGGGTCGTGGGACAATTAGGACAACTAGTACAACTAAGTATAAAAATAAGAATTATGGGTCGTGGGGCAATTAGGACAACTAGTACAACTATGTATAAAAATAAGAATTATGGGTTGTGGGGCAATTAGGACAACTAGTACAACTATGTCAATGTTGTTACAATTGGTTCAATAATTTGTGTTTGTTTATATTGGCAGGATATTCATAGCATCTTGAAGCCTGAAAACTTGGGTGAAGAAAGACTTTTGCGTCGGATATTAGATCCTGGCTATGATGATGGGATAGGGGTCATTGATGTGGGTGTTGAGAGTTGGATGGATCATCTCACGGTGAAGAAGAAGAAGATCTTCTGGAGATCTTTGTATGAGTTAGACATTCGACATCGAGGTGGATTCACTTCCGAGGCTCCTCAAGTATCTGAACCTGAGACGACATCAATCCTGGAGCTTAAGGGTTTAGTGGGTCTGTTAGAGAAAAGGGTTGCGACCCTCGAACAGCTAGTGCTTCCCCGCCCATCATCTCCACCACCCGCCTCCTCACCAGTCTCCTCTGGTCGACCCGCAGTGGCCCCCCCTCGAAGCGCACCGGCATCAGTTTCATCTCCTCGGACCGCAGGAGGAGGGACCCCTCCAAGCGCACCGGCACCTCCAAGCGCACCGACACCTCCAAGCGCACCGGCACCTCCACCAGAATCCTCCTTCTCGTTGTTGGATCGTGTGGAGGTGTTGCATCGTGATGTATGGCGCCAAGGAATAGTGAGGGTGGTTTTAGCCAACAACCGGTACAAGATCAAGATCGTTGACTCGTCGGAGGAATTAGAATGCATGTACTGGGATGTTCGGGCATCATCCGCACCACCACCATCCACATCATCATCAAAAGGCGCATCCTCATCCATAGGCAGTAGAGCATCCTCATCCAAAGGCGGTAGAGCTGGAACTAAGAGGCCCCAGAAGACATCGAAGTACAAGCAGTCGCCTTTTGTCTCTGGGGGGAAGACCAAAAAAGCGAAGAAGTAGATTGTGTGGTTTATTTCTTTTGTTTAGTTGTTTGGGTTTCGGACACGTTTCTTTTGTTTAGGACAACAAGGACAAGTATGTTTATTTTGTTTGGGTTGACGATTTATTTTGTTTTAGGAGAAGTGTTTCAACTATAACTATGTAGTTTAGGACAACAGGGACAACAGGGACAACAAGGACAACTATGTTTAGGACAACATGGACAATAAAGACAACAAGGACGACTATGTTTAGGACAACAGGGATAATAAGGACAACTTTCTTTCTTTTGCTTAGGACAACAAGGACAACTTAATCTGAATAAGAAACATAACATGAGATTTATTCGAAATAGTTGTGGGATATTACAAAGGAGAACAAAAACAAACATGATGAACAAAGGAAAACACGCTCACATAAGAACTCCCAACCACATCAAATCTTCTTCAACCTTTCGTCTTATCCATAGCGGGCTCAAGAGATGCCACCTTGGACTCCAACTGGTTGAGTTTCGAGAGAATGGTGTCAAACAAAGACCGCATGGCTTCTTGGGTGTCGTTTAACATTTCAATCTCTTCTAGAATGGCGACATCCCACCACTTCTTAAAGCCACAACTGGGAACCTGAAAACCAGTAAATCGGCTGAAATTCTATTTAGAAAGACAAAAAAAAATAGATTGACTTGAGGAGTAAACTTACATCCGGGAAATTTTTTGGGCCACAACAGCCGTAGAAGCAACCGTAATATTTCCGGCCCTTTTCCAGCGAGGAGTTGTCAGTTAAACACCCAATTGGAGCTATGCCGCAATAACAAACCTTTGGAATTCCCTTTTGTACAGGGCATGGAAGAATGGTCATCCCGTAGTCTTTCTTAGGCAAGACAGAAGAAGAGCCATCATTATTCTTTTCAGCCAATTTCGCGAGGGCTTTCTGATATTTATCCATGTTGCGGCGAGGGCTTTCTGAGGAAACCCTTAAAAACTATTTGGGGGAAAAAAAATGGGAAAGAGAATAATTGGAGAAGAAGGGTTCGACCCTTGTCTATGAAAGAGAAAACGGTAAACGACAACTATGATGTCACCAGAAAAGTAAAGAGGAAAATAACATATAATATTATCCTCAGCCGCCATTCTCACGCGTGCATTTTCTGGTGAAAATAACATATAGTTGTACCTAGTTGTCCGGTTGTCCCAAATATGTCATAGTTGTCCTTTGGTTGATTTTTAAGTTTTTCCAGTTGTCCTTTATCAATTTTCCCGTTTTTTTAGTTGTCCCCTCAACCCTTGAAA